TCGAGCTAGTTTGGCTGCGCACCCAAAAAAAAGAACAACACAGATCTTGAAGCTATGATCTGACAGATGAAAATTTGAGTCCGAACAAAGAAAAAACACGCTAGTGATGCATAGCAAAAACCTTTTTTTTTGGGGGGGGGGGGGGTATAGTGTGTTTTAGTCAACAAAATCATTCATCAAATAGTGCCAATATTCGTGTCAAACAAGTTAGGATTTTTTGCAGCTGTACCTTGAAGAATGGGTGATTGTGTGAATCAACAGAAGATCACATTAAGCAGCCAAGCAAAGTTCTCTTTGCTTGGAGGATGTGTGAAGCTCAGATGTGGCACCCGAGAGAACCACAAATTAATGGAAGAAAACCACAGATTAATGGAAGTGAATCAAAGAGGATTTTGGGGGCGGGGGCGTGGGGGGGGGGGGGGGCGCAAACACTTTGTAATATCTTCGTTTTCATACCTGGCGTCACATCTGTTTTATCACATCCGGACATCCCTCAGAACTCCTAGCCCTGTTGTTTAGTTCCAAAGTTTTTTTTCAAACTTACAACTTTCCATCACATCAAGGTTGTGTTTAGATCCAAATTTCTAACTTTTTCCATCACATCAACCTGTCATACACACAATTTTTCAGTCACATCGTACCAATTTCAACCCAAACTTTCAACTTTGGAAGGAACTAAACACAGCCTACAAGTTTGGTTCCAAATTTTTTCTTCAAACTTCCAACTTTTCCATTACATCAAAGCACACACAAACTTCCAACTTTGACATGCATGCTCACTGGAGACATCGATTAGCAGAAAACATCAACAGGTGGATCTATAAAGGAGACATCCATGCATAACTAAAGGTGACATGCCCAATGGAGATATAGATTACTTGGAAAACAAACATACATAGGTCTGATCCATGCATAATTAAAGGGGCAGCTCAAGGCAAGGTGGGTATGAAAAGATGGAGGGAGAGCTACGCAGTTGTGCTGTCAACAGCTTCTAAGCATGGAAGCTCTGCCTTGGTTCTCTTGTATGCGTTTCTAGCAGAGTTTTGTCCAAGTTTGAAGCTTGCGTAGGTGATGATGGATAAACGGATTATTCTACCCCTGAAATTCAATAAAGCATGACCAAGACTCAAATTTAAGTTCTACTCCTGAAACTCAATAAATCATCATCAAGACCAAGAGTTAAATTTAAGGTAGCAGCAAGAAAGTCGTAGAAACAGACGGAAGGGAATCGGTATTGCACCAGAAAAGCAAGCGAGGACTAGGAGCAAGATCATCTCCCCCAATGCTTTGCACCCCCGATTCCGCAGCATCCCTTTCCTGCTGCATCATCGCCGAAGCAGATCCCTTCTTCATGTGGCCGCTGTTCTTTGCGATCTTCTTATGCAAATCAAAATCAGGCATAAATAAGTAAGCAAGTTAGATTTTCCTTTTGAAAACTCAAACTTTTATTAATAAAGACAGAGTTCAAGGGAATGAATCACAGTACATCGCCGAACAGATGTTCTGTGGCACTGAACCATCCTTAACCACAAATATGCTAACTGATAATAGGAACCAGACTTCCTAAGGAAACCAAGCAGCAAGGGAGGAGCAGATCGACGGGGTACTGCGGCATTGCCGCGACGACTGCATCCTTGAGCCTCTTTTAACGTGCACACCGCTTGACAAACCGATAATCCTCTTCGGCTGCCTCCACGGGAACGGCACAAATTAGAGGACGGCAAGTTAGATTTGATTATAATCGATCAGTGAGGGCTTGTTCGCTTAATCAAATTATCCCTATGGGGATTGGATTGGAGAGGATTAGGGGGATTAATTGCATGTCATATACCCAATGGTCGTATACACTATGGGTCAGATAGTGGGCTGCACGTGCTGGACATCAAGCAGGCAACACCCATCATAGATATTGCGTCCATTAGTGATAGAACGAGCCCTCTCCGCATCGCAGGTTGATCGGAACCACACGGAAGCCTCAACACCCCAAGGGCTCGTGGTGAGGACCTGCACAGCCACGGCTCCATAGGTGTTGTAAACTTGATGCAGTACCTCGCCGGTCACCGGATAAAGGACTTGGCTCACTTGGACATGAAGAACAGCGCCCGCGTCATCTCCCAGCCAGCATTTCACCGAACACCTGGCGGGCACCACCAGCACCAACCCCTCCATGGCTCAAATTCCGCCTCCAAAGGTCACCATTGCAATTGTGTGTCGCCCAACACGATTTGCAATATATCGGTGGCACTGTGTGTGAGAGATTTGGTGTGATTGTGTTGGTCTGTGACATTGCACACCTCCCAAATCCCCTCCAATCTAGTTCCCATATGATGAAATTGATTAACCAAACAAGATCCTACAAATCTATTCCTTCCCATTTGTTCCTTCCCATATGAAATTGAAGGAGCCCCAACGCGCGGGAGATCGAAGATAAGGGGGAGATGGAGAAAATTTTCGTCGAAAATATTTCGGGTCTGTGTCGCGAGAAAGAGAAGAAGATGGCGAGCGACGGAACTGACCTGATGATCTGAAGCTGCCTCGCTAAGGAGGCGGCAGCGGCGGCCGAAGAGGCCGGCGGTGGTTGCCGAGCGACCCAGGGATCGGAGAATAGCTGCCATGGCGGCGGGCGAAGAGCCGAAGACGTCTCTCTTTCTTAGGGTTTCGTCTGGTTTCTTTCCGGAGTTTTGAGCAAAGGTGAGGAAAAATATGCGATGCGGTGTGTTGGTATTGCGATGTGAGCCGAAGACTGGTTTTGTTTTTGGCCAGCCCAGTCCATCTTTATTAAAAATCGGATTAAGTCCGCTTTGACTGTCTTAACTCGTCGTCGAATCTAAATCGTACTCATCTCTTTAACCACGTATCTCGACACTTAACTACTGTTGATGCAAAAGAACACACAGTGGCCTAAGAGATCTACATAACTCTAGTGCAAGTCCAAAATCTCGCTTTCTTCAAGGGCGTACTAGTTGGTTTGATATTGCAACCAACAAGGAAAATAAAATAATTAATCTTGTAAACGATAGCCGATCGGCTGGTGGGCCGATGACATATAGTCTTTACATGCCGATACCGTTGAGGAAAATGGGCTGTTAGGTACTCCCTCCGTCCCATAATATAAGGGATTTTGAGTTTTTACTTGCAACGTTTGACAACTCGTCTTATTCAAAATTTTTTGAAATTATTATTTATTTTATTTTTGACTTACTTTATTATCTACAGTACTTTAAGCACAACTTTTAGTTTTTTATATTTGCAAAAAAAAATTAAATAAGACGAGTGGTTAAACGTTGCCATCAAAAACTTAAAATCATTTGTATTGTGGGACGGAGGGAGTAGAAAATAGAATAAAATAAAGGAAATGATAACGTATTGGCTACTACTCCGATATGATCTTATACCTGTAGGCCAATTTATATAAATATATTCAATTAAGGACTAAATATATTTATATATAATAATCTACTCATATAAGAGGAGAATATAGTGTAAAGCATGATTATGTTAGATGACTGCAACGAGATTTTACCCTTTATTATGACCAAAAGCATGTTTGTTAGTTTTTATGATTATAAGCACCGCTAGGGATGATGCATCGCAAAGTATGCAGAGAAGCATAAAGTCTAAACAATCAAGCTTTTGATTATTTTTCAGGATGGTTGTCACATCCGGAGTTTCATCTTTTCCGTAATTTCTAATTCATTAAAAATTGTCTGAGTAAACTACAATCACGGTACATAAACTTGTGTGGTGGGTGCAAGTAGGTACAACATTTTGTAAATTGCTTGTTTTAATATAATAACTTGGCTAATCCGTGCTAATTTAATCCAAAACGATCTATGCTAGCAAAATGATACGGCGTGGCGCACGGATGACATACCATCTTGCACGCCGTATGGTTGTTTGGGGATATAATTTACAGAAAACACCTGATGTTTGCCTCTCCTATCACTCTCACCGATTTGATCGGCTTGTCCTAGGCTGGGCAAACCAATTTATCATGATCCTCGGCTAGAACTGGGTTGGCTTTGAGCGTGCTAGGATATCATCGGTTTGGTACACACAGTGATCCTTGGCTGGAAGTGTGTATAGGGAATTAGGGATAGGTGCAAAGGCTGCACTATGACATCGACCTAACCGTGATCCTGGTAGCCGATAAACATAATGTCACCAATTCTAAGACCTTTAGGCGCACAGGCTCCGGTTAAGATGAGATTGTTATTTCCTTCCATCACGATTGACTACACTGTCACGATTGACTGCACTGATCCATTTTGACTTCTAATTATTACTGATACATTTCAATTGGCAGTTTGGCTTTTCACGATGTGATCTCAATAGTTTCCGTTCAAAATTATTTAATTTTCCTGGAATGGATTAGTTCAATCCGGTTTTGATGCGTACATATCATCAAGGTTGCGGGTAGATTCAGATCAATTTTCTTGCGTGGCTTGTTTTAGCCCATGTGTGAATGAGCGACCTGCAAGTTATTGTACCTATTTGCACCTACCATATAAGTTCATAGAAGTTCAGATACCATGAGCGCAATTTACTCTAAATTGTCTATAGAAATTACTTTGGTTAACCAGTAGAAAACCCTAATTAACAATATATTTAATAATCAGAAAGGTCAGGGATAATTTTTTTCGAATTCTCTTTGTTTTAAAATCGTTAACATGATTTATAGCAGAATATTCAGTGCATTGAAAGCAACGTTGTTAATTTAAAATATCAGGATTTGAATTAATAATAATTTTCTTTCCTGCCTTTGGTCGTTAACCGTGCCCCCGTTCACTCCTCTCTCTCCGTCCTCGGTTTCCTAATGTTAATACATGACAACTAGATGGCTAAAATTTGCTAACAAAAATCAGATTAAGTCCGTTTTGACTGCCTTAACTTGTCGTCGAATCTAAATCGTATCCCTTTAACCACGATACCATGCCAGATATCTCAACCCTTTAATTACTAAAACCGATAAATTTTGATTCTCTCGATAGTGTTTTGGATGGTTTTGTTAACGTGACCTTTTGACTTAGTCAACTTTGTGATGATGGAGCAACCCAGTCACAAATACAGGTAAAGCCCACATTTAAGTGCCTAGGAAAAAATATAAAAAATGTGGGGCCTACTTGCTAGCCACTTTCTCTGAACTCTACTCCTTCTGTCCTATAAAAAAATAATCTACTACCGGATGTGATACATTCTAGTACTACGAATCTAGACATACATATGTTTGAATTAACCCGTACAACCACTGCACTTAATTCCAAATAGCACCTGCATATAAACAAACATGACAAGCTTGTTTGATCCATTAAGTGATATCCAAACAACCTATAAGCAGCAACCCGTACAATGCGTGTTCCATATCCAAACTGATTGATTTGTACCCTGGAAAGGTTGCAAGCCAGACAACGGTCACTTCATTCTTGAGCTTCATATACCGAAAGCTGAAATGTTCTGAAAATGAAAACCATGCAAAAGAAGGATGGATTCATGGATATCGATCAGATATCGTATGCATGAGAATCTATAGAAGCAAAGAATTGCAGAGAATATTTTTACCATGTTCGTTGGGAACATCTATATATTGGCTAGTACTAAAATAGGCAACAGACTTGTGCATGCACTGTAAAGCAATTTGAAAGTACAGTAAGCAGTCACAGAGACAAATCTGTAATGGTACTGATTAGAGAAGCAGGGAAAACTGTAGCAAATTAAAAGATCGAAGCATAGATTTGGTCATTGCAAATCGATGCATGAGAATAAACATATGTTTTGGACCAAAACTGATCGATACCTTGGTTGAGTGGTCAACTGAAGGTGTAACTGCTGCAACAATAATCAAACAGCTTGAGCAAGTAATCATCAGGACGTGGGGAAGGGAATAGACACTACAAGGAAGAAAACATACAGAAAAACACATACCGTTAAATCTTGGTCAGAACCACCAGTGGTCCAAATCCTCTTCTCAAGGCCTAGAAGTATTGCAGTCATCATGGCTCAATGTAGCGTCCTCCCGAGCTTGCCCGACAGGGAGATCTGGAATGCAACAGCCTCCTTGGTGGAGATAATAGAAGCACAGGGGCATCCCTGTCCTCCGTGGCAGCGGAACATGCTTTCTACACAGGGGATACCAAAATTATCAAGCATGGCAGGCAATTCCACGGCACACCCAATCAAAGGTACCATCTAAAGAAGAAGCCGAGAGTTCATCCCCCCACCCCCCCCAAAAAAAAAAGAAATTGCTTTCCCACCTACAGTACTAAGCACTAACCCTAGCTTAAGAGAAAACAACGCCACACTGATCGCTCCACACCAGAGAGGCAAGAGAGGCACAATCCCCAAATCAAAGCAGCGCTCCCCTGAGCTGGAGATCCAAGCAAAACAACCAAAGAAGTCGTCGAGGGGCTTACAGCGATTCGAGGCCCGAGAAAACCCTAGATGGAGAGGGCAAGAAGTGGTGTCACGCGGGGGTGGGGAGATGGCGGCGGTCTCCGGGAAGAAGCGACGGTGGCCGTGGATGGCCTCGCTGGGAAGCGACGACGGCGAGTGACGCGAGCTGCGTGCCCGAGGTCGAGATGAAAGGGGAACGGCGGCGCCGTCGCAGGCCATGACGCGGTGGAGAGAATGGGGGATTTTAACTATTTGCCACTCGTAAGCCACTCGTATGATTTGCCACTAGTTCCATATGTTATAACACATGAGAATCCACATGTTATAGATACGATGTGGCAAATCGTTAATTACTATGTCACAAGAGTGACAAATACTTAAATTTCCCGGAGAGAATGGGGAATCAGCGGGTTCACAGCGCCCCATTTTTTTCCTCCTCTGCCTGTCGTGAGCGATTGGGTGGTGGGCTCAATTGGCCTGGCCCGATACAATGCAAACACGTGGCTGGGAAAGAGATTGGACGCGACTGATTTTGGGGCGACGTGGCCGCGTGGACGAATGAACAGTGTACATCAGGATTGGAATGGTTAGGATATGGATTGAACCTAAACCGTTTTAAGTGAGTTCGTTGATCCATGGTTTAATAGGGTCGATCTACTATAAGTCTATTATATTAATAGGTTATCCATAGATATCCAAATGGATCGGCTACTCTTATTACATGTGGGTAAAACTCGGATCCAAAATTTTTAAACTCGCGTTCACACTATAAAAACTTATCGAATTCAGTGTACAATGTACTGTACACTGTGTACAATACCCATCGGCAAGTTTATACTCCCTCCGTCCCAAAATATAAGCATTCTTAGTTATGAATCTGGATACTTCTGCAGATTCATAGCTAAAAATAGCTATGAATCTTACTTGTGTGTTCAGATTTATAGCTAAAAATAGCTATATTTTAGGATGGAGGTAGTACGATTTTATATGATACTAGTTACATGCCCGCGCGTTGCGATGGGAAATGCTATGCATTAATTTCATATTACACCGGATGAAAAGATGTTAAATAATCATTGAGTGAAAATTATCTCGAGAGATTACAACTGAATGTTACTTTTTTAAATCAAGGATAGAAACTGAATTTATATGATCAAATACAGTCCATTAGTTAAAGACATAAATGAATGAGTAAATTTATGGACAATCATTTAGTGTTAAGTGCTGAAAGTAATCACTTAAAAGCTTCGGAACTCTCAATACACTGAGTTGCCTTTTGCATACATAAATAGTGATATATAAGATACATGAATGATTCACCACTCATCAGGTAACATACCAAGTTAATCCTCTAATTTTAGTTTCTATTGCTGTCCTCTAATTAAACGTGTAAAACTTCAAAAGTGACAACAATGTTCACCCCTGACATTAATGCAGCTAAAATTAGAGGATCCTAGTCCTGGTGATAGGTTCCATAGGAAGGCTCAATAGAATTGCCATTAATATCTTCAATTCTCAGATCCTTTATTCTCCAATCTGCATTAAGATGAACAAAACAATCATCTTTTCACTATTCAAAATTTCTGCTAGTAGACTTTTTAACAAGATGATGGCAAATCATGGATGCAAATTGATGCGTCGTGCTTACAATATCAACTGAAGTGCCGACTAGACAAGTAAGGACCCCAGCACCTACCGACCGGCCACCACCCAGATCAAGCGCGGGAACTTAGCTAGACAAGGAGATTTGGCTCCCAGGAGAACGAAAAGAATGCTCGTGCTCCCGTGGTGCCACCGGCGGAGGCGTTGTGTGGGGTGGCAGCGGCGACGGCGGCCATACGGCCTCCGCCTGGCATTGGCGCGCGCGATCTTCCACTACACCCAGCTGCGATGCTGTTGCTTCGGCGTGTGGCGACGGTGGCGGCACTGGGACCTCATGAGGGGGCGTCCGGAGGAATAGCAGATGGAACCATTTCAGGAGGGGTTAATTGGATACATGCCATTAAAAATTTGCCCGTTTCAAAATATGTCACCAGTATTTATGTATTTGGAAATATGCCATTATACTTTTATACATATTCAAAAGATACCACTACTTACCCTCTTAGATGCATTTCCAGAAAAAATTGGACCAAACTACCCATTTTTCCCCTTCTTCCTTCTTCCCATTTCTCCTTCCTCCTATCTTCCACAGCATGAGAGACCGGCGATAATTCGGCGACGGCGGTGACAAGTGTGGCCGGAGATGGACATGACCAAAGCAGTCGCCACCTCCTCCCTCTCCAGCACTCCTTCACCCGGGACGCCGCGTCTCCCTCTACCTCGCGCCGCCGCCAACCTCCTCCTACGTGGAGCTCCACACCAACAACGACGTCCCAGATCTGTCCGCCTCACCTCGCCGCCGATGACTACCTCGATGCCTGATGCAGCGACGACGACGGCGAGGTCAAGAGTAGCCACGGCGTCATGTTCTTGCTGCCGCCGGCGGAGAGGGAGCGGAAGAACGTCTTGGGCCGTGGCGGCTGTAGGATCGAGATGTCGACTAGAGGGGGGTGAATAGGCGATATAAAAACTAAATGACACTTAATCAAAACTAACCTAAGTTGCTAGACTCGGTGAGGGTTAAGTCTAACTAAGCAACTAAGTTATGTCTTGCAAACCTAGGGTGATAGTGGCTCAATTAATTCTCTAGAAAAGTAAATCACACTCCTATGTCAATGTTTTGCAATCCTAGGGTGATATTGTCTCAAGAATGTCTCTAGGAATGTAAATTGCACAAATGTAAATGCGACAATCAAATGAGACAAGGAGACAAGAGATTTTTTACCGAGGTTCAGAAACTCGTCGGTTTCCTACTCCCCGTTGAGGCGAGCCCAACTCCACCGCTCAACCACGAAGCCACCGTACGCCCCTTTCGTCAAGGGGTGGGCAAGGCGGGAGCCGGCCCACGGAGAGGACTACCCAAGCCTCGATCACTCGGGGTAGTTCTTCCTTCACTCCGAAGGTGGTGAACTCCAAACCACTCACAAACCGGCACCGGGCCTCCTCCACAATCTTCTCGAAGAGGTCACCGGGCAACTCCTCCACAAGCCGTCTAGGAGGCGGCAACCTCCAATAGTAACAAGCAATGACCTAGCGTGGAGATGATCAATCAAGTACCACACTAGCTCTACAAATGGAAGCAATGCACTTGACTCTTGGCTAATTGACCCTCTAACACACTAGATGGATGAACACAAAGCTCAAGTGGGTGTGAGAGAGGTGCAAGGGGTGTATGCAATTGAAATGGGTGCCAAGAGAGTCCCCTTGCTGCTGGAGGGGGAGTATTTATACTCCCACCAACCAAAACTAGCCGTTGAGGGCGAAATCCCCCAACTCTGTGCTCTGCCGGTCTGACCGGAGGTATGTGGCCGGTCAGACCGTGCTACTCAACAACGGCTAGTTTTCTAGCCGTTGTAGGGCTGTCATTGGGCCCCACTGCCCCGGCCGGTCAGACCGAGCTAATGGCGGTCTGACCGAGCCATCAGCTCGGTCTGACCGAATACGGCTCCGTCGGCTTTGTATCGGCCACCCCGAGCAACACCATCCCGGCCACCAGAGGGCCGGTCTGACTGCGCATGTGCCGCCGGTCAAACCGGCCTTATGCACCGGTCAGACCACCGTCTTGTGGCCGGTCAGACTGGCCAAGGCACGCCGGTCAGACCGCCACTATGTGGCCGGTCTGACCGCCCCTGGTCAGGCCGAACACAGTGAAACTGTGTGTGATAAGTGTGTGTGGTGAAAAGTGAGCACAAGTCTAAATGCATAATGACATAATGTGGCAATTAAAATCATCTCATTTGCTAGGTCATTACCCCCTTGATAGTACGGCAAAACTAAAAATAAACTAGCAAATTTGATCGCCCTTCACCTCGATCAATTTTAAAACTAAAGCACTAGTTTTACCGTTTTCTTTTCTTCGCTTCGCGCCATCAAATTTTAATCCGTCGATAATCATCCATGCGCACACATGACGTGGACCTAACTTAAAATATATCTTAATAGCAACGGTTAGTCCACAATTAGCGCTTGTCATTAATTACCAAAATTAACAACGGGGGCCTAGATGCTTCAGCGTCGCAGCGGCGTCCGCGGGCTGGCGCACCACCGCACGGAGCGGCTGTGGATGCTGGCCTTCCCGCCTCCGGCGGTGGGGGTTTCCGCTTACATCGCACTGCCTCGCCGTTGCCTAGGATGACGCAGGTGAAGACGACCCCGATCTTGGCGGCGAGGTTGACCCAGCGCAGGAGGTGGGCGCCGACAAGGCGGTGGCGCACGACGTCGCAGAAGTGGTTGCAGTTGCGGAGAATGAGGTTGTAAGCGTCGCCGGGGAAATCGGAGGTCCGCCATGACCGCGGATTTGGGTCTGAGAGGTCATGAGCGAGAGAGGAGAGGATGGGGAAAGAGAGAGGTAGAAGATGAGGGTATTTCCGTCCAATACATGCAAAATATGTAGCTTAGTGGCATCACTAAAATTACAAACAAGCAGCAGTGTATGGTTACAAATACTTAAATAGTAATGGCATATTTCTAAACTGGCAAATTTTTAATGGCACGTATCCAATTAACCCTTTCAGGAACGCTTGGGACGTATCGGCGAGGTATCTTTTTTTTATTTAACTGAAAATCGCGAAAATCTGGGATACGTATCGAAGTGTATCCAATATGTATCCATATCCATACACGTATCCGATACTGATACGCCACTTTTGTGCTGTATCCAGGTAACATAGATTATAGATAATCGGATTCGTTGACATACCTCAGATGAACTTATTCCTAGGGCAAATTAGTCCCAGCCGAAACTCCACACAGCCCAACTATCATTCAGCCCAACCCATCAGTACAACGAGAATGGCCTTCGCAACCACGCGCACTATATAACCTACCCACCTCACTCGCCCTCTCCCCTCTAAACCCTACCCGCCAGCCTCCGCCTCCGCCTCCGCCTCCGCCGCCGCCGCCGAGCTCCTCCCGCGCGCTCCGAGCCCATCATGGTGAGTTCCTCGCTCTCGAACTTTCCTCCGTTGGTGATCCCCCGTGCATGTCTCCGTCGGTGACCGCGTCGTTTTTCCGCAGGCGGACGTCGAAGTCGAGACGGAGGTCGCCGCCGGCGCACAGCCAAAGAAGAGGACGTTCCGCAAGTACAGCTACCGCGGCGTCGACCTCGACGCGCTCCTCGACATGTCCACCGATGACCTCGTCCAGCTCTTCCCCGCGCGCGCCCGCAGAAGGTGTTGTGTTGCTGCCCACACATCTCGCATCTGTGATGAAATCGTGCCAGTGATTTGATTTGCCCTTACGGGAATGCTCTTTTTTTTTGCGGGTGTGATCTGGTGTGATCCGTTGGTTCTGTGATCTTGCAGGTTCCAGAGGGGTCTGAAGAGGAAGCCCATGGCGCTCATCAAGAAGCTGCGCAAGGCGGTGAGTCTGGAATTATTAATCTTGATCTCACTTTTCTTGAAATGTGTTGTTCTGAGTTCTGACTAATGAGATAGCCGTGAAAGAAGTTTGCGTATATCTGCTATGATTCCACGGTTGCAGAGTCGGTAATTTGTGCTATATGCTTAGTATTTTGGATGATTGGCGTGTTCTTGTTTTAGAAATGATTCTCTATGTTAATTTAGAACAGATAATACTAAGCGTAGTCCTTTTAGTAGTTACTTCTGGTCCCTGATAAAACTGTCATGGTGTTGGATCTGTGGAATTCAGTGTTGTAGGATGTTGTGGAAATTTAGTTTTTTTTTTTGCCATGATAGAAATTTAGTGTAAGGTGCTAATTTTGGGGAATTGAATGATGGGAATTTTGACTGCTGTGTTTGTTGTTGACATGTCACTTGTGTTGATGGGCAGATGCAATTCCATGTCATTTAATAGGTCAATGCCTTTCATGTAATGAAGTTAAATGAAATCGATATGTTTCTTGTTTAACATGTTGTGATGTGGTGTATTTAACTACTTAATTTGCAGATCTTATTTTTGACCGATCTGTACACACTTTGAAAACTACCATCGCAACATTTTCTCAAAAGATGTTACTATCCTTGCAACATTTTCTCAAAATATGTTCTAAGTAGAGATTGTCTGATTACTTCAATATTTCTAACTACCAAAACGTGTGTTGTGTAAAGTAATCTGAACCAGCAGTAATCACAGTAGAATGTCTAATGTCAAATGCATTTTATTTGCTGCATTTGATGTTTTGCATTCCTTAATCTGCGATGCTACATGTGTGGATTAGCTTGTCCTTTTAATTTGTTACTTATTGCTGTTTTGGAATGAAATACACTGGTACTGAGGAATGGATCAACTGTCTGTACTATTTTTTTTTCTTGTTTGCTAAAAGCTTCTCTATTGTAGGATTCAGTATTGATTTGTAGTTAGTGGGATTTCATTACCTTGCAAACAACTAAAAGTTATAATTTGTATTTTCCTCAATATTTTTCTTTTGAAATGCCCTTGAACAGAAAAAGGATGCCCCTGCTGGCGAGAAGCCAGAGCCAGTGAGGACCCACCTCCGCAACATGATCATTGTCCCTGAGATGATCGGAAGCATCGTCGGTGTCTACAATGGCAAGACCTTCAACCAGGTTGAGATTAAGCCTGAGATGATTGGTCACTACCTTGCGGAGTTCTCCATCTCCTACAAGCCGGTTAAGCACGGTAGGCCCGGTATTGGTGCCACCCACTCCTCTCGGTTCATCCCTCTCAAATGAGTCATGCAGCTTCTAGCCATCCAGAATCAGAATTCAGTGTTAAGCGCCCATGGCTTGTCCTTCCAGTATCACTTGTTTTTTGAGCAAGTTATATACCTAAGGCATTTTGTTCTGTTTAGCTAAGCAGCACTGTGCACAATGATCTGTTTTGCCAAGTTTATGTGAGAATCTTGTTAACGTTGTCGTGATCGTATTGTTGATTCTTAATTCTTAAAATCCTGGTTTGGAATTTTCATTAATCTGGTACTCCTACCAGAATGGATTAGCACCAACGCCGTGTCCTTTTTACATTTTTGTTGCGTCTGAGCCCTGTGCTGCCGCTGCGTACATAGCCGCGCCACATGTGTTACGACCAAGTTCGGAAGAATTTCATTAGAAACTCAGCTCTTGTGTAACCTATTGATTAAGGCAAATCTGATTTGCAAAATGTTGCCTCTGCATATGCAAGGACGTGCATACGGATTTTCGATAGAGTTGGTCCGTTTGGAACGATAATTCAGCCTCCTGTGCGTTTGGCATCGATGACAACTACGGAGTAATGATCAAACAGTCAAATTGAGAGTATTACAGTTTAGTGATATCTGAAATGCGAATCAACACAACATTATACGGTTTGAACAGACTACGTATGTTTCGAACACAGCATATAATATTGCAAGTAAATTCAACACTAGTACCAGCAATCCAGCACAGAGAGTTGAAGTAAATTTTGCCAAAGCTTCAGCATCCTGCTATGGTACGAGATAGCAAGTACACTATATTCCTAATTCTGCAAGTATTCTATATCCATGACAGCATACATGTAATCCCCTTTAAAATCAACAAAAAATATTTTCACGAATCGGCTTAATACATTTGGGTGATCAAACTCTTGATAATTACATGATTACATCTTTATTCGAGAACATGAAAGAGAACTAGCCTATGTAAAATTGGACCAATATTGCAGCTAGCATAATAACGTGATTAATCTGAAAACCTAGAAATATTACCCTCACATGAATGGCCCTCCCTTTCCCAGCACCCATGGCCCCCGGAGCATCAAGCGCTAGCGATACAGATGAACACCGCATTTGGCATCAATGGCAACTGAAGTTTTGACAGTTAACCAACTACTAGAATCAAGTCAAGAAATGAACATCAACATTGTAGCTAAAATCAAACAAAACACTATACCGTTTTGCCACACAACAAACTACTGCAAAAATCAACAACCACTAGCACCGGAAGTAAAACTAGACAGCTAACAATTTTCAAAGGATAAACAGAAAAGTTAGCATGCAATGCAATAGATTGGCTACATATGTCGTAGCTCTCTCAGCTGTTACAAATATTGATTTCGAAGTAGACTATACTTCGAATCAAGCCAAGAAATGGCATCACAAATGTAGAACCCATCAAATAAACCACTATACATTTTTGCAACAAAACAAAATATTAAAAAATCTTCAGAAACACTAGCACGGGAAGTAAAGCTAGAGCCAGCAATTTTCACAAAACAATCCGAAAAGGTAGCATTCAATATATATATTGCCTAAAGTGCTTAGGACTACAAAACAAGTTTGTCAATCCAAGATTCCTCGGTAGCCATGGAAACTTGCATGAAGTAATTCGCATGAAATTTACTCACAGATAGAATTCACATGAAGAAATCACCTAGCAACAAATGCTAATCAAAGTCCTACACATCAATGATTTACCTGCTTGGATCATTGGATGAATGTCTCTGTACAGTACTATTCATGGAACGGCATGACCCAGACAGGTGGGGCCAGCGCCACCTTGGCCCCAGCGTCTTCCACGAAGTAGAGCTTCCGGCTGCGCATGTCGTAGCATCTCACGGTGACGTTCTCCCCGGTGACCACGCTCTCGTCGTCGGTGAAGTAGATGCAGTCGCCGGCGCACCACGGCAGGATCCTCGCGTCGGCGAAGAACGCCGTGCCGGCGCTGAGGAACAGCGCGCGGCCGCCGAAGCTCTTGGGCCGGCGCCAGAACCGCAGCTCGGCGTCCCACCGGAACACGGAGAGGTACCTTTCGTCGTCCGAGGGATTCAGGCAGCGCTCAGTCCCGATGAACACCAGAGAGCCTGCGCCGTCGTCGGCGAGCCACCACCGCGATCTCCACATGGACCACTTCGATCTGTAAGGCCTGTCCGCGAACTTCTCCACCCGAGGAGGGGTCGACGCGCTGCTGCTGCTGCTGCCCGCCGGCGGGATGGTGACGCGCAGCACCGTGCCGTCGTAGCACGCCGCGTAGAAGCTGCCGTTGAGGTGGACCACGCTCACGAACTTGCGGTTGTACTCTGTCGGCTCCATGTACTCCCAGCCCACCTCGACGCGCGCCCACGACGCGTCCCCGGGGCGCGCGATGGCGAGGCAGCGGCCGCAGAGGTAGACGCAGAGCGCGACGCAGTCGTCGTCGTCGGAGCCGGCGGGGCTGCACGAGAGCGCGACCATGGTGATGTAGGGGTAGTTCTTCTCGTCGGGCTTGTACACGCGCTGCAGCCTCTCAGCCAGGGGGAGGCCGGCACGGAGGCGCGCCTCCTTCGATAGTGGCAACCGCACGACGTGCTCCTCCAAGTCCGCGGCGGCATGGATCTCGAAGAGGGAGAACTCGTCGGGGAGGCGGAACTCGAGGTGCGGAAGCAGCGGGTGGATGACATGTACAGTTGCGGTGGCCGCGGCGCCGACGACTCCCTCGGGGCCCTCCCGGAGCATCACGAGCCATCCGCGGGAGCTCCCGACGCAGCGCGCGCCGCGGGCGTGGGGGAAGGCGATGTCGTGGAAGCGCCCGTCGGCGAGGCTGAGGAAGGCGCGGGAGGCCGGGTCGAGCGCCATCTCCTCCGGAAGCAGCAGCCCCGGCATGAGCCGCTGCGGCTCGGCGACGACGTTGTGCCCGTCCACGGCGAGCGCGAGCCATGGCTTGGAGAGGAAGGTGGCGCCGTCGAAGTCCGGGTTGCGCGGGAGGCGGCGGAAGACGTTGCGCAGGACGCGGCGCCTGGGGAGCTCCCAGGCGTCGGGGAGGATGACGGCGAGGCCGACGTCGTCGTCGTCGTCGTCGCGGTCGGTCTCCTCACGGTACAGATCCGACGCCTTCGCCGCCGCGGGCGCCATTGGGGAGTGGAGCGGATTCCACCACGAGCGGCGCGGCGCGGCCGCGGGCCGCGGCGCAGCGACGCTGACAAGGAAGGAAGGAAGGAAGAGTGTGGAATGTTGTTGGGGCGCTGCGCGGCTGCGCGTTGCGTGGGGGTGTTATATAGGTCGACGCCGAGATGAGTTGGATTGAGTTCAGATCTCAAGTCTGAATTTTCAGAAAGTTCAGATTTGAGATAATTTGTTCTATTTCACTGGTTCTTTTTAGCGAATATAAGTCATTTTCCAGCGCAATGGATCAAACATTTCACCAATGTAAAAAATGTCAGTCGGAAACACTAGTACTATTCATTCAGACAAAGAGAAGCAACTGCGTCTCTGTCTGAAGCTGATGCCCAGTTAAACGTCGGGGAGCAAGTTTGCTGTGCTAAGTAGCAAATCAACAGTAGAGTGATCTAGCCTTGTAGACAATAGCGGCAACTGGTTGACCCCAAAACACATATAGAGCACCATCCCAATATCCAATCTTGTTATAATATGAGGTGTACAAGCGCACTTGGCTATGGAGATAACAAATGGTACCTAACATACCTCCCAAGCATTGTAAAAAGTCTCTTTAATTTAGTTGCTCTCTCGAGTCATCAATATATGCCGTTTTTAAGGGAATGTTTAATAGATCAAAAACTTATTAGAACTCAATGACTAGTGCACTGTACCCTTATTTCAACATCCAGTAGTCCTCGGTTGTGCTCTCCTTGAGCTTAAGGCTGAAATCCGCTCTATAGTTAATAAGATTCGCAAAAGGTTGGATATTATTTACGTCGACAATGAAAAAATTGACAATCATACAAACTATTAAGATGAGGACCAGGAGATTGCATCTTTGGCGACACGTTGTAATAGGATGGATCACGCTTCCCACATACCATAGAATTTTGGTCAGTCATTCCACCTGACACAGAACACCTCGCAGATCAATGTTTTCAGTGCATGGTTTTCTTCCATGGTATTATTACTTTGGCATAAACAATAGATCAAGTAACTAAGTTATTGAACTTCTTTGAAATTGAACCAACTCAATTCTGAACTTCTCTGAAATTTCAACCAACTCAATTCTGAACATGTCTGAAATTCAGACTTAAGAGTCTGAACTCAATCCAACTTATGCAGACTACACGTTTGGCACAAATAAATGAAGCAAATAACTAATTTATTGCCATTAGTACAGATTACATGCAATTCAACCAATCAATAGTAATCTCAACTAAAACGCATGTTTAACATACACCTGACATTCAGCAAGAAGTTTGTCACAGACTGACAGTAACTTGACGTGTACAGTCCAAGAAGAAGAGAACCAAAGTAAACTAATCCACTCATGCAGAGTACACTTTTAGCACAAGTAAATGGATCAAGTAAACAATTTATTGCCATAAGTAAACGATTACAGTTAGTGCAACCTAAGCACGTTCAATTCAACCAATCAATAACTAATGATCTCAGCTCTCCATACACTTGGTCAATAATTACAGAGGCCATCAGAGGGCATACACATCAGAAGAAAAGAGCAAATACATGATTTGTTTTACATCGGCCAAGACAGCTGAGCAGGAACAAGCCAAGGGCTTATCCCCCAGGAGGGAGGAGACAGAACAGAGCAGAGCAGGCCAGAGAAAGGGCAGCTCTATATCGAAGGAGTAAGCCGACTACTCGCTGATTCCAGCGATGATCCCCGCTTCCTTCAAGCAGAGGAACTCTTCTTTGATGTCTTCAGCTACACCGCTGGCTTGTATCGCTGATCAAATATTCTAGCATTCCTCTCCTTCCAAAGAAACCAGCAGGTCAAAAAGAAGAAACTGTCAAAATTTTCCCTGTAGCGCGTCCGACAACATAGTCTCTCCTGCAGCCACCAGTCAGCAAGGTGCAATGCCTTCTCACCGGGAGTAGCAAAGTTCACATTCATCCATCTCTTAAGGATTTGCCAGACTGCATTTGTGAAAGGGCAATCGACGAACAGGTGGTGGCAATCGACTGCATTCTTCTTTGAAATACCTCCTCTTACAACTTATTTTTTTGAACGAAACTCTTATTACAACTTTACTTCTACTTTGAATGTTATTTGCAATAGTTTCAAATTTTGCAGTACATAAGTGCAGCAGAGTTTGCAATCAAGGATAGAGGAGAGATGTCATATTTTTCTGAGCATTGAATAAGCAAATGCGCTTCATGGAGGTGGACAGACACTGACACAAAAGAAATACATCCATGGTCTGCTATATCCATGGTCCATGTTTAAAATTCACTCTCTCCAAGGAACAGAGATTATTGGTCTCAACTCTGAACCTCGTCCTTGAGCAGGGACTGCTCCCAAGTCCCAAACCATCTGCTAAATTACAGCATTAGTCAAAGCTTTGTACGCAATTTGGTTGTTTGCACTAGCAACAGGAATTCAACCATTAGCTGATCTGTGATCATCAGAATTGTCGGCGTCCAAAAACCTGGCAGGACTTGACTGCATTCTATGAATTTTAAGTTCAGTGCAGGCAAAAAGTGCTAGTTCATGTTACAGTTGTTGTTGCTGGAAGAAAAAAAAAACATTCTCACAGCAGATAAACTGTAGGCAAGACAACAGCCAAACGAAACAATGCATGATACTAGTTTGTTATAGCTTTTTGCTGATTCAGGCCATACCCAATCTCACAAGTGACAGACCCAATCCAATCTTTAGTTCATGACCCAATCTCACAGGTGACAGACCCAATCCAATCTTGAGTTAAGGACCCAATCTCACAAGTAACAGACCCAATCCAATCTTGATTTCATGACCCAATCTCACAAGTAACAGTGTCACGGGCGAGGAGATTGGAACGAGGATTACGACGGAGGGAGTATTTGAAGGCTGTAACAGGACGTGGTCCTGGACCTCGTCGGCGCGGAGGAGCCGTGTTCGGCACCGCACCGGCGAGGCAGGAATAGGTCTACAGATTAATCTCACATAATTGATTGCTTCCAAAACCAAACTGTCTTACAGATTATATAGCAATTCTAAAGGATAGACTCCTAACAGCTTACGGAATAAGAAACTAACAAACTATCTAACAAACTCCGAACCGAATCAAAACAGAAGTAAAAACTATTCCTCGTCATGCCTTGCCGTCGCCCGCCTGTTGCTGCGACGTTTGTATTGCAATCCCCACATGACATCTCTCCCCCCCTGGAAAAGCAGCTTGTCCTCGAGCTGAAAATCCGGATGAAGAGTCCGAAATTCATCCAAAGGCATCCATGAAGCTTCGGCAGCAGGCTTATCCTTCCACTGAACAAGAACTTCACGAACTCCACGAGCCAATCGACTCTGCGTAACTGCGGCATGCTGCAAACACACTTGGCCGTGTTGAATGGGCGGTAATGGCGGAACAGAATCAGGCGGGGTTCCACGAAATGGCTTCAACAACCCCACGTGAAACACATCATGCAAGCGAGCACCCGGAGGAAGCTGAAGACGATATGCCATAGAACCAATCCGCTCGGCAACCCTATACGGCCCGTAAAATTTAGGACCCAACTTACCACGGCCGGCGACCCCGAGCGAAGCCATCGGGCGATGGAGCAAACGAAGCCACACCCAGTCGCCCACACTGAATTCCAGTGCCCGATGCTTGCCATCATACGCCGACTTGTGTGTCTGCTGCGCTTGCTCCAGGCGATCACGAATCGCACGCAAAAATTCATCTCGATCTTGCATCGCCTGTTGGACTGCCGGTAGACGAGTGGATCCCGGTTCATAGGCGTGCAGCGTAGGTGGCTCACGGCCATAAACCACGCGGAACGGCGACGTGCGAAGAGATGACTGGTAGGACGTGTTGTAGCAGTACTCCGCCCATGGGAGCCACCGTAGCCAGTGCCGTGGCCGATCGCCGGTAAGACAACGGAGATACATCGCAATGATCTTGTTCGTCACCTTGGATTGGCCGTCAGACTGAGGATGAAATGCCGACGACAAGTTCAGTTGTACTCCCGTCAATCTGAACAACTCCCGCCAGAAAGTGCTGGTGAAGACCGGATCTCGATCACTGACAATAGAAGCTAGAACACCGTGTAGTAGAACAATTTCCGCGAAGAAGGCCGCTGCCATCGAGGTTGTCGTGTAGGGATGAGTGTCACGTCCCGAACTAGTCCCGAGCGGAACTAGCCCGTGACGCTCCAAATTAACCTATTAATTGATACCAGTCCCAGGAAACAGTGCTGGTATCACAGGAAGACAGAATATCACAGCAACAGAGATCTCTTTATTATAGAGTAGGAGTACAGTTATGTTGGGCTGCGGACAGATCCTGAGCTCACAACTGCATTACAAAAGGGAAGCGGAAGCCAAGACTTGGACCACACATCACAGGCGCGACTTGGGAACTAGGCCGAAACCCTAAAACTCATCGTAGCCGGCTTGCTCCTGGAAGAACTCCTCGTCAGCGGGATCCGCTTCATTTTCTTCAGCAACTGGGGGGGGGGGATTATTTATATAGAGCAAGGGTGAGTACGGGAGTACTCAGCAAGCCATGGGGAATAAGTGTTTAATGCAGGCTTCAAGGAAAGGCTGTTGTTTTTGCAATTGATTTTATTTAAACTCTTTTCTGAAACAACTAAGTGAGTGCTTCTCAAACGACACGGATGAGACAGTGCGTCTCGTCCGGTCGGAGTATGTGCAAGGTATCAGTCTTTTGAATTGATCAAGGTTGGCACCCGGCCAACGGTTTTTAAACGGCCACCCGGGCCTGGCTGATCCCATCAGCCGCAGATTTTCCAAACATCAATCCCAAACCACATCAGCAAATTTCACAAGCAGTAGTCAAACAAAACTATGCTAGGAATCACCTTACATCCGCCCATGACCGTGGGCACGGCTGTTCGAACAGTTTAATAACCTCTGCAGAGGGGGTACACTTTACCCACACGTCATTACTAACCCGGATCATCCAGCCCGTGCAGAACGGCCACGACTAGAGACCTTAAGGCTTTCATGACAAGGCATTTCGAAAGCCGACACAGGTTCACCATATGCCAATGAGAGGGGTTCCAGACCAACACCAGATTAGGTCCCAGACCATACTGTGCCAGGAAACCCGGGGGTCCTCCCCGACACCACCCCGTTGAATCCACATGTCTCTTGACATCATGGCTCCCCCGATTAGCTAGTTACTCAGCCAGGGGTGTCCCATTCCACCCAT